CTTTGTTTTTGGTCCACTCACCCTTTTAATGTTTTGCGCCCCCAGGCAGTAAGCGTGCACAGTGAGCCACCACCGGGCCGAGTTCATCTTCCGCCACCTTCCTTGACAAAGTAGGGTTTTGTTTAATTATTTTATACTTGTAACCTAATCTGTGTAGAGCTCTGATATTGCCCTAGAACACTTGTCTAACTGTTAGTATGTAAATTTTTGTATGCTAGCAGTTGGTGTATATTATTTTATATGCATGTCTGACAGGTGTAAGTTTGGGATTGGTCTAATTCCAGGGGAGACTCTGCTAATTTTTCGGCAGAAGTCAAACCCCAGTTTTATGTTGAAAGTTGACTGGAAAGGGCAATTAGGTCACTTGTGCCCGGCACTTGCCAGGTGTCGGCCACACACAGGGTTCGGCTCAGATTCCAAAGTGGAATTTGGGTCGGGTCCTGTCATATATCAACTTTTCTAAAAGGAAAATGTAAAAATGTTTAGTTAGATGCATTTATGTTTCTTTATGGCCACCTAAAATTTGTTTCCTTTAATAAAAAAATAAAAAAAATTATGGTTGCAATGTTTATTCCTGAGGCATGAGTTTTGCAGGTGGACCATGTAATTTTGCTTAGAAAAATATATGTTGTTAATTATTTCTTACTCAATTAAAGGAATAAAAAACTATAACTGGAGTGCAAGTTGGAAAATTAAGTATAAAGAAAAAGAAATGATATAAAAGTAAAGTAAAAATAAATTAATGTAGGGTAAGAGTAGAATAGGAAAGAGAAAAAAATAAAAAAGAACAAAATTAATTAAAAAGTATTAAAAAAAAATTTAAAAAAAAGAAGTGTAAATGGAAGAAAGAGAGTGGGACAAGCACCTCCCTTAAAAAAAGGGTTGCACACCACATATGATTAACCATAATGCATCAGCACCAGTAACATGTGATTATATAGAACAAAAGTTTAACCAATATATTAAAGGAGTGGAGTGGGCATGATATGCACCATATATAAGAAAGAAATCGATATATTTGGACAAAAAAGAGAGAAGAGAAATTGATTGATATCATATTAAATTTTGTAGGCCGTGGAGACAATTGCACCTGCCCAGGAGTATGGCCGCCAGCAAAGTACTACTCCACTAGTCTCCAAAATTAAATTTGACATAGGATCACCACATAGTGGGTTATACGTGGAGTTAAGTTCACATGTGAACATTGGGTAAGGGGTAAAGGTAAACATTCAAGCCCAACATGTGAACATTACAATATTAGGTAAGAGTACAGGCCCAATTCAATCAACCCGCTTTGATACCATGTTAAATATCAGAGAGAAGGACCTGTGACCCACCATTAGTAACATCAATATTGTCCCTAACTTAACCACCTTATGCAAAAGGCTTTGATGATATTAGTAGTTAAACCATTCATTATATCTTAAATTTTATTTAGTCAAATTTTTGATGTGAGACTTATATTTTTCAACAACACTATCACAACGCCGAATCTGAACCCACTGCTCATTACAGAATATTTTATACATTGTCACTCGAGAACAATATAGTGCCTATCTAATCAACTCATTTGTTTATATAGTGGTCAAAAGTTTGAAATTTATCATTGCATTGTTTATGGTTATATGGATTTTATTATCCAGCTGATGCTGATGGACAAAAGCAAATGAAGCAACCAATAATTCCCTTGGTTCATATTAGTTCATGAAATTGTCAAGTCAGGAGCATTAAATGCATATCGTTGATTATCTCCGTGGTCCTTATCACACAGGAAAAAAGAAAAGGGATTAAAAAAAGGTATTGATAATATTAAATTTTGCAGCCGGTGGAGGCAACGACCCGGGAATCTGGCCGCCAGTAAAGTACTACTCCACTAGTCTCCAAAACCAAATTCAACATCTTTTTCAATAAATATATTTTGAAAAATCTGTCTTACATGCCTTTCTGTATTTATATCTTTCTAGTCTAGCTCGTTTTAAGTAGTGGGGAAGAGCGTGTGTTTGTTGTGCACCTTTTGATTCAGAGAAAAGAAAATAATGTCAGGACCTCAGTGCTGCTCACACCCACCAGTCCTCAACCCGTCCAGTGGCTCCGGCAATGTTGAGAAGTTTGGTGGTCTCAACTCATATGTCACAGGCTCCCCTCACTCCAAGCTTGCCATTCTTTTCCTCTCTGACATTTTTGGTACTTTCCCACCACTTCAAAATTATTTTTCTTTTTCCTTTCAGTTTAGTAATTATGTGTTATTTTTCTTCATTCTATGAGATATGGGTTATTTGCCTCATTGTGTGTTGCTTTGAGATCATGCAGGATTTCAAGCTCCAAACTTAAGGTATGACTTATACTCCCAGTTTTTCTACAGCTAATTTACGTGTCAAAGGAGCATACTGGAAGAGCAGAAGAATCACTACTTTTTGCATCTTATATGTACTCTGTAGCTAATATCACATGCTTTCTGTTGTGAAGGAAGTTTGCAGACAAAGTTGCAGCTGCTGGGTACTTTGTTGTGGTCCCTGACTTCTTCTATGGAGATCCTTTTGTAGTCGCAGATGATGGCTCCTTTGACCTTCTACCTGTTTGGTTAAAAGATCATAGTCCGGTTGGTTATTAATATTACTGTTGTTGTTTTGAATTTTATTTATGGTTTTCAACTGCGCCGGGGTACAAAAATTGTTAAAAAAAATTACCTGTTTGGTTAAAAGATCAAAGTCTTGTTTTTCGCATGGATAGGAGAAGGGATTTGAAGATGCAAAGCTAGTAATTGAAGCTTTAAAAAGTAAGGGCGTCTCTGCAATTGGTGCTGCAGGCTTCTGCTGGGGAGGTGAGCTTGTTCTCTTTTTCTGCAAAGTTCTTTCTTCCTTTGTTTCATTTTTCCTTGTATTAAATTTAAGTTTATTTGTTGAAATGCCGCATGTGGTTTCCAAATAGTCTTAGTTTGCCTCCTGTTTGAGTGTGTTTAAAAATCCACCATCCAAGTTATATTACAAAAGTTGCAATCCTCCACCTTGTTGAGCATCTTTCCTCATCTTTTTGTAGAGAAATCCCACGCCTCTTTCATCAATTGCATCTGCTCAACTCCAACTTCCCATAGCCAACTTGTGCATGCGTTCCTTCATACTGACTACTTGGATGATGGATTTTTAAACACACTCAAACACCTCCTCACATTTCAAATGACTTAATCGCCCACCCCTCAACTTCCATTATGTGACCAAAGTTGCCCTATTCCGTTAATTTTCAAATAAACACCGTTAAATCAGCTGACGTGGCATGAGTATTTTGGCAAATTTAACTATTAAAAATTAAAAGATTCAAATTGAATAAAAAAAAATGCTTGAAGTTATTTAAAATAGGTAAAAAATAAAGATAAAAATGTCCTTTTTTTTAATCCCTAATCGTCATCTCTCACCACCTGCTCCCAAAGCTTTAGTGTTTGCATGATTATGGTCACTTTTTATATATAAAGCTTTTGCCGTCATTTTCTCCCATCATCACATAGTTTTATATTACAAAAGTTGCAATCCTCCACCTTGTTGAGCATCTTTCCTCATCTTTTTGTAGAGAAATCCCACGCCTCTTTCATCAATTGCATCTGCTCAACTCCAACTTCCCATAGCCAACTTGTGCATGCGTTCCTTCATACTGACTACTTGGATGATGGATTTTTAAACACACTCAAACACCTCCTCACATTTCAAATGACTTAATCGCCCACCCCTCAACTTCCATTATGTGACCAAAGTTGCCCTATTCCGTTAATTTTCAAATAAACACCGTTAAATCAGCTGACGTGGCATGAGTATTTTGGCAAATTTAACTATTAAAAATTAAAAGATTCAAATTGAATAAAAAAAAATGCTTGAAGTTATTTAAAATAGGTAAAAAATAAAGATAAAAATGTCCTTTTTTTTAATCCCTAATCGTCATCTCTCACCACCTGCTCCCAAAGCTTTAGTGTTTGCATGATTATGGTCACTTTTTATATATAAAGCTTTTGCCGTCATTTTCTCCCATCATCACATAGTTTTATATTACAAAAGTTGCAATCCTCCACCTTGTTGAGCATCTTTCCTCATCTTTTTGTAGAGAAATCCCACGCCTCTTTCATCAATTGCATCTGCTCAACTCCAACTTCCCATAGCCAACTTGTGCATGCGTAAAAAAAAACCCACCCCACCTTCTCCCTTCTCTCTCTCTCTCTCTCTCCCCCATCAACCCCCTCCCCCCAATTGTCAAAAGGCTCAAAACCCACAAACCAAATCACAGAAGAATGGGGAGGGGGAAGGTGGTTGCTTGGGTTGGTTGGGCAGTGGGGCTGGTTGAGATTAGGGAGAAGGTGTAGGGGGCTGACGATTGAGGGAGAAAAAAAAAATAGTTCTTTTTATCTTAATTCTATTTTAAATAATTTCAAGCATTTTTTATATTTATTTTGAATTTTGAATAGTTAAATTTATCAAAATACTCATGCCACGTCAACTGATTTAACGGTTTTTATCTGAAAACTAACGGAATGGGGCAACCTTGGTCACAGAATAGAAGTTCAGGGGGGAAATTGAGTCGTTTGAAACGTTAGAGGGCAAAATGAGACTATTTGGAAATTACAAGGGGCATTTCAACAAATAAGCCTTAAATTTATGTATTCATTTATTTTATGAGAACTTTTTAATAACAAGTTATACTTGCGGCACAAAAGATTCTCACATCTGCACTGTTTTGATCTCAGCCAAGGTTGCGGTTGAACTTGGAAAGCATGACCACGACTTCATCCATGCTGGTGTTCTGTTACATCCTGCATTTACCACTGTGGATGATATCAAAGGTAAGAATTCTGTATGTAATATTCACGTATGGATATACATATATTAGAGGATCGAATTCACAGAAAAAGTGTCGGTCTTAGTTTAATTATCAATGCTGGAACAACTTTCAGAGGTCAAGGTTCCCATTGCCATACTTGGAGCTGAGTTTGACCACATTACTCCAGCTGAAGTCTTGAAGCAGTGGGAAGAGGTTTTAATTGCAAAAACTGAGGTAGGAATTACATCCTTCATCACATTAGTCCTATGATGTTAAAGTTTACGTTTTGAGTTTTTGTTTTTATTTTTTTTTTAAGAAATGATGGGAACAGAAGAAACACAATCAAAATAGTCCTATGATGTTAAAATTAGCCGGCAGAGA